AAACCTGTACCCCTAAACCCTAAACCCCTAAACCCCTGAACCCTAAGCCCTTTTTTGGCATCAGGACTTTTGCAATCGCCTGAATGTCTGAGCCTACAGAAGTTCAGCTCTCATGACTGCGCTTCCATACTTTGCTCAATAAAACTCTAAACCCTAAACCCCTAAACCCTTTTTTCTTACCCTAAACCCCTAAACCCCTAAACCCCTAAACCCCTAAACCCCAAAGCCCCTAAACCCTAAACCCTAAACCCCTTTTCAGCATGGGCTTGGAAACCCTAAACCCTAAACTGTTCAGCGGGTGCCGGGCTGCCGCGGTGTGCCGCGCATTCGCTCCCAGCCCTGCGGGGCAGATGTCCAGAGCCCGGCCTCAACAAAACATAGAAACCTAGTAAAAAGGGTTTAGGGTTTAGGGTCTAGGGTTCAGGGTTTAGGAATACTAGATAGTAGGTACTATGTTAGTTTAGGGTTTAGGGTCTAGGGTTTAGGAATACTAGATAGTAGGTACTATGTTAGTTGAGGGTTTAGGGTTTAAGAATACTAGATGGTAGGTACTATGTTAGTTTAGGGTTTAGGGTTTAGGAATACTAGATGGTAGGTACTATGTTAGTTTAGGGTTAGGGTTTAGGAATACTAGATGGTAGGTACTATGTTAGTTTAGGGTTTAGGGTTTACGGTTTAGGAACACTAGATAGTAGGTACTATGTTACTATCTGGAAGGAGATGCCACTAGGTGCACCAACAGCAGCTATTATTAATAACTCGTAGTACCACCTATAACTACGACTATGACGACGACGACGACGACGACTATCTACTGTTGCTGCAGGTCTTGTTCTGGATGTTACTGTAACATTTAGCAATTTAGCGGACTTCGCAACCAAATTACGCCATCGAATAGGAATATTTGGCACTGACACGGCTGGCCTAAGACCTACCAAGGGACACCCGCCTGCTTTCGGGTTTATGAGGAGGTCTCAGGGTGTAGGGCCGTGTAGGGCCTCAGATAAAGCTCTCAAGGCTCCAACCCCCCCCCAAGCCCACCCCAAATCCCTGCGGCCCGCAACCTGAAATCACTAACACCCACGACAACGCAAAAGGCCCTGAAAACCACAAAAGACCGCCAAGCTCCAGAGCCTCACCTCTGTCCTGACTGCTTCAGCTACTGCTTCCTTTCTTAGTACTGATTACTACCCACCACCACGATTCCCATGAAGACGTCCACGACCTTCTTACGAGGAAATCCATCTCCCCTCCTCAAGCCGGCCTCGACCAAGGCGCTGGGGTCGCTGAGCGCCTTTCGGGCCGGCTTTGGACTGCACAGGCTGACCATGCAAATGGCGGTAGTGATTCCAACCCCGTCGACTAAAATGAAGAAGAAACACTGAGATCATAACGTAATCAGAAACGTTGTAGTATGGTATGATTTGCAGAAGTTGCAGTGGCCGTCGTCGCAGCCAGGTGGCTCCGGCAATGCCGAGATCGCTACAGACGAGATAACTTCGAAGTTCTGTAAACAGAGGTCCCGCTTCCAGGAAAAGTTGTCTTTGGAACAAATCCGGGAAACTGATATGCTCAGTTCAAACCTGGCTGGGCTGTTTTGGAAGTGAGAATGAGGAGACCGTGCTGTATGTTTCTGTAGGATAGGCTGTTTAACCTAGATATTTGTTTGTGCATGTACATGTGTGTTTGTGTGTGCGTGTACGTGTCTAGTTGTATAAAAGTACACAGGTATATAAGTCTGTATCTATTTATGCACAGAGGTCCATATGTGCGCATGTGTGCATATGTATATATGCATACACAACATAACACAACATAACATAACATAACATAACATAACATAACATAACATGACATGACATGACATAACATAACATAACATAACGTAACATAACATAACATAACATAACATAGCATAACATAACATAACATAACATAACATAACATAACATAACATAACATGGCATGACATGACATGACATGACATAACATAACATAACATAACATAGCATAACACAACACAACATAACATAACCTAACATACATGCAGACAGACAGACAGACAGACAGACAGACAGACAGAAAGACAAACAGACAGACATACATACATATGAATATATATATATATATATATATCTATCTATATATGTGTGTGTATTGAAATTTATTTATTCATTTACGAGTTTTAGTTATAAACATGTAAATGTCACTTTATGTAGACATGTTCGTAAGAATAAATATGCAAATATATCTCGTTTATGCATACATGAAAGTATGCATGTATGCATGAATGAATGACTGACTGAATGAATGAACGGAGTGAGTGGATGGATGCAATGAATGATTGGATGGAATGAAGGTGGAATGAATGGATGCACTGGATGAATGATATGAATGAATAACGAATGAACGAACGAATGAATGAACGAACGAATGAATGAACGAACAAATGAATGAACGAACGAATGAATGAATGAACGAATGAATGAACGAACGAACGAGCGAATGAATGAACGAACGGAGTGAGTGGATTTAATGAACTAAATGAATGAATGAAACGAATGAGTGACATGAATGAATGAATGAATGAATGAATGAATGAATGAATGAACGAAATGAATGAATGAAATGAATGAAAGAATGAATGAGTGAGTGAATGAATGAACGGAATGGAATGGAATGGAATGGAATGGAATGGAATGGAATGGAATGGAATGGAATGGAATGGAATGGAATGGCATGGAATGGAATGAATGAACAGATGACTGAATTCACGGCATGAGTGAATGGATGAATCAATGAATGAATGGCTGAATGAATAGGTGAATGATTTAACGGAATGGGTGACTGGATAGCGAATGAATGAATGCATGCATGCATGGATGAGTGGATGGACGGATGGATTGATGGATGGATGGATGAATGAATTGCTGGATGAGTGGATGAATGGACACATGAATGAATGGATGAATGGACAAATGAATGAATGGATGAACGGATGAAAGAATGAATGAATGAATCAAGGAATGAATGAACGAATGAATGAACGGAATGAATGGATGCACGAATGAATGAACGAAATGAAGGGATGGCGAACGGAATGGAATGAATGGATGGAATGAACGGATGCACGGAACGAATGGGTGGAATGAACGAATGAATGCATGGATGGACGAATGGATGGATGAATGGACGAATGGGTGTTTGACAAAACTTACGAATACATAGGCACGTGGCACGTGCGCAGACGCGTACGTGTGTGAGTGCACAGACAAATACACGCGCTACAGACCATTGATACAAATTAAGAGAAGCGACGAAACTCGCAGTGGTAAGCATGCCATTGGTGTTCGACCGGTGATGATGAACTCTATCCATAGGCCATTAACCCTTTTTTTTGAGCAGGGACTGCAATGCACTAAGCTTAATGGCCTAAACCCTAAGTCCACACTTGCCGAAGCCTCGGGGCTCATGTCCGGCAGCGCCCCGAAGAGACTGGCAGAGGAAGCGGAAGAGCCGGCTAATCTCTCCGAGTAAAGCGCGGGCAGCTTTCCGGCAGTCCTGACAGCTTCTGTAGGGGCCGTCATAGTTTTAGAATAGGGTTTCGGGGTATACTGTACTATAGCTATAAGAAGGAACTCCCAAAATAGTTTAGGTAATTTTATTAAGGCCCTACATGCGATTTCGACTCTCAGAGGACCAGGCTCCGATGTTTATGGTGCAGGGCCTGCACCAGACATGCGGCAACGTAGGCCAGATTGAGTACTGTTTCCAGCTTTCGTCTCTTATCGTCTCGGCTCCGATGAAATGGAGCAGAAGATGTTCTTGACGGCAAGAGTTTACGACAATGACGATGACCATCAAGCCGCCATCTGACGGAACCTCTAAACCCTCAACCCCTGAACCCTAAACCCTATAGCCTACAGCCCCCAAAACCCTTAACTGTTCAAAAACCCTTGAAACACCCTAAACTCTAAACCCGTGTAGTTTTGTACCCAGACTCTGCTGATCCCAAAACCCTTTTTTGCGACTGACTTGCAATCCCTAAACCCTAAACCTTGAACCCTAAAGCCAAAGGCTCCACAGCTGCCGGAACTCGGCAATCGCCAGCTTCCTGGGGTCCTGGGCCGCTTTCTTCAAGGATTTTTACACCAAAAACTCGACCACCCTAAGATCTAGGCTTCTATTTTCGGGTTTAGGGTTTAGGGGTTAGGTCTCCTTTAAAGGGTACTAGAGGGTTCTATAAGATATGTAGATGTTCTGTTCTCTTCTCCGACACATAAGACGGACTGGTCAGGTCCTCCCAGCCGAAAGGCTCACCGCTGTTGAAGGGCCCTCTACGAGGACGTGAAACAACAAGAGAGATTCCCTCGGAGAAAGAAGCCGTCAAGGCGGCAAGTAGTTAAGACATGTTTTTCCCGATTCCCCTTATGGTTCAGGGTTTCGGCGCTCACACTCGGACAATCCAGGCGGAGGGAGTAGTGAAAGCTCAGGATCCAAAAACATGAGGCCATGCTTGTAACAACCTGCTGCTAATGCAAAAGGATCCATGCTCTCTCATCACCCAAATATCCGGAGGGTTTAGGGATGTGGTTATGTGTATCTCTCTGTATCTCTCTCTCTCTCGCTCTCTCTCTTCGTCTGCCGTGCCATCGTCGAGGGTCTCGCTACGCAAGGGCAGGTAACAGCAGGCCAGACTGGCAGAAGGCTATATACGAATAGTAAATGAACAACCAAATAAGTGAGTAGATACATAACACACACACATAGGTGTGTATACATATAAGCATGTTGTATCTACATGCATATCTGTATCTATACTTATTAATACGAGTACTATGTATGTACGTGTACATATACAAAAGCATATGTATTTTTTTTGTTAGCACTCGCGCTCGACCAGGTCAGGCGAGGACTACAGTAGACAATATATATGTATATATAATGTATACATCTGCTTCTTTAGGAGAGCCTAAACCCTAAACCCTAAACCCTAAACCCTAAACCCTCTGACACCCCTCATGGGCGGCCTCCACTTCGCGCAAGGCCCGGGCGACCTTCGGCAGTTACGGGGTTGGGGGCTCCTGATCTTGGTAGAGATGGGATGGAGACAGAGGTGGAGCAGTGCAGTATGCCTGGTTTAGGGTGTAGGGTTTAGGGTTTAGGGTTTAGGGTATTTCCAAATGCTATCTCCCACCTCTCCGGCATTGTCGAGAGCATCCGCGACCACGACATTTTGCGCATGAACCACCAGCTTCCCTGGTCAGCAGAGCCGGGCTGTAGCGAGCTTACATGGGGAAAATAGGGGACCCTAATATAGTACCCTAAATAATAGGATCCCTATTATAAGGACCCCCAAATAAGGTACCCTAATTTTTGGAAACCCCCACATCCCGCAGTCTTGCTTGGGCTGTAGGATGTTCGGTTGAGCCTTTGGGAAACCCAAGACGGGCGTTTCGGGCTGAATATCTTCATGCTGGAGACTGGGCAAGTGGCTTGGGCTTCCAGGGTGCCTGCTTGAAAGCTTGTTCAACTGTTCAATCATGCTACTACCGGGTAGTATTGATATTACTACTACTAGCCTTTGGATTTTGAAAAACAGGCGTTACGAAGCTTTAGGCTTGCAAGTGTGCTTCGAACCCGTCGCGCCCCAACTCATCCCTCCCGTCCTGCATCACGCCCTGAAGTTTGCGAAATGAAAGCGCGAAACCCTGAACCGCTACACCGCGTCCGAAAAGCTCCAAACCCGAGACGCTTAGCGCTGGGACTCCATGATTCGAGCATAGGCCCCACATCCAAAACTCCCAAACCTCTTTGCACAGCCCAGAATCTGCATCCCAATCCTGCGCGCCTGCCGTAGTAGCACCTTTCGCCTCCAGGCGCTTCTCTAAGCCTCCGCCGACAGCTTCGTCCGGAGCCTGTTTCAGGTCTGCTAGGGCTTTCTTTAAAGAATCTATTTTAAGGGGTTGAGGGCTTTCTTTAAAGGATTAATTTTAAAGGTTGAGGGCTTTCTTTGAAGGATTAGCTTTAGGGTTTAGGGTGTGAGGTAAAGGCTTGATTCTTGAGGCTTACTGCTTTTCCCAGTTTGGTCCTCTCACAGCTTGGGCAATCCGGGCGAGGTATCTCAGTTCGATGTGGGCGGCAGACATGCGCTTACGGTTAGGGGTTTAGTGGGTTTCGGGTTTAGGGGCCTAGGGGTTTAGGGGTTTAGGGAAGGGCTCTTTCGCGTCCTACTTGAGGGCCCCCAAGCGGGCCTTTAGGGGTGCTCTGGTCGGGGGCGGTTTCGTGGTGTTTTGGCTCCCGAATAGCGAAGTCTAGAGCACGATGTCTGGTGTTGGGTTTGAATCTCGGCTGTTCTGCTAAGAAAGACAAGCAGCTCAGTACTCCTCCCAAACCCCTAAACCCTAAAACCCTAAACCCTAAACCCGAAAACCAGTTTTTTTGCATCTGGTTTGCAGCGACTCAACCAGGACGGAAACAAGAGGCATGCGAAGGCACAGCTTTAAGCTAGAAGCCTTCGGACTCTCGCCAACCATGTCTCCGGAATGACTTCACACATGACAACAAGTTGGAATTGCTTGAATGATTCGT